ACTGGAAAAAGGCACTTAGGGGAGTTAGAGACAGCCAGGCTCTCCACAGAGCCCTACTAAAAAAAGAAAAAAAAAAAAGCCTTCATAAATCACACTATCAAATTTGAATGGAGCCTGAGAAGCTAGCAATGCAAACCTCCTGCTTCCTGGAATTGAATCATATCAGAGGGGGCTATTTAAACTTTCCTTAAAACAGCAAAGAAACCAGGCAGGGTGAAGGGGAGCTAGATGCATCTGAGTTTAATCAGAGAATCCTTTAAGAGTACAGTTTAATTAGTGATTTCCTTCAAAGTGCAATCAGCCAAGGATGGACTGACACCATGTCCAATCAAAGTGAAATCTATTAAGTAGCCAATTTAAGTTTGGTTTTCACATTTAAAAAAGAAGTAATATTCACAACCTATGAGTCTGCTTATTAACTAGTGGAAGATAAGTCAAAAAAACAATAAAACCATAATTTTCATTTTAAAGAGAAAAAGTGAAAGAAAAAAAGGCAACATATACTTTCCTTTACAAATGCTGTAAAGCATGTTGTAATGGAAAGAGTATTTGAAACAGAAGGTCACCTGGATTTTAATCCCAACTCTGCAAATAATTTGAACGCTGACTGGTGACTAAGCATACCACTTATTGTCCTTAATCTTATAATGAAACAGAGATTAAAGAGATACAGCATGTAGGGCTTCCCTGGTGGCGCAATGGTTGAGAGTCCGCCTGCCGATGCTGGGGACACGGGTTTGTGCCCCGGTCCGGGAAGATCCCACATGCCACAGAGTGGCTGGGCCTGTGAGCCATGGCCGCTGAGCCTGTGCGTCCGGAGCCTGTGCTCCGCAACGGGAGAGGCCACAATGGTGACAGGTCTGCGTACCGCAAAAAAAAAAAAAAAAAGAAGAGATACGGCATGTAAAATTTATTACAATAAAATGTGAAAGCAATTTAGGAATTATTAAAAATACTACAGAGGGGAAGAGTACCAATGACATCATTATCAACTAACCTTGCTAGCAAAACAGTACTGTTTAACCAGAACTATAATGCACTACTTAACACAAAAAGAAATTCCATGGAAGAATTTTCAAGATGTTACGTATGTTAGGCTGACATACGTTGTAACATTCCAGCATACTCAGGCACTTCTAAGTTTTTTTTTAAGTAGCCTGAAACGTGAAAAAAACAAAAACCTAATATTTCTTATAAGATACTATAAGAGATTTGAACTGCAGATATCTGAAAATGCAAAGAGCAGCTTTTATTTCATTTTGACTATCGAGTTCTCATTTGAAGGGGACAAAAAGAAAATCAAGGCATCTCTGAATCGGGTCTATAACGTGTCATAATGATTCTTTAATCTAGATTTTTAGAAATGAAGGAAACTCAGGCCACATCCAAAGTCAAAACTGGTTCACCATGTTGATCCTTACAGCCTGGCCCTTCTTCACGGCTATTAATGAAAGAGACTGATACTTACTAAGCATAGATGTGAAGCGATGAATCAGGTACTTTACACTCACTGGATTATTTCATTCCAACAACTCTAAAGAGATAGGTATTTCTATCCCAAACACATAAGAAAACTGAAGCTCAGAAAAGATAAACAACTCATTCAAAATCACACAGGTAGCAAGCATCAGAATTGTGACTCTGACCAAGGCCTGAGACTCAGCTACTCATCTTCCTTCTATAATATGCAATCCTCAGGTATACTTACATACCCATCCTCTCACCAACTCCTACCCCACAAATAAAAAATGATTTTTCCTCTAAAAGGCAAACAACAATAGTGGCAAATAAATGTCAGGGAAGGGGAAACAATGAATTACTAACCTATTAATAATATTAGTATGGAATATTAAATTCTCATATTGATTCATAAGAAAGGTAGAATAGGTATTATCATTTGTTTACATTTGAAAGGTAGAATAGATATCATTTGTTTACAATTACTAACCTATTAATAATATTAGTACTGAATATTAAATTCTCATATTGATTCATAAGAAAGGTAGAATAGGTACTATCATTTGTTTACATTTGAAGAAATAAAAGCTCAAGAGAAGTTATATACTTTCTTGCAAATTAAAAAAAAAGATACTACCATATTCTAGAAAAGAGCTTTATAGTTTCCAAAGTGTTTTTTTACCAATCTATACAGCAATATACAACAATCCGATCAAGCAAATATTTATTAAGCAATGACCAGGATTCATTCTAGGAGCTTGGGAAACGTGAGTGAAGAGCACAGGCAGAGATCCATACCCTCACAGAACTTACATTATAGCAGGGGAGATAGAAAATAGGTAATATATATAAATATAAATAGAAAAGTAGAATAAGAGGGTTTGGGAGTATCAGAAGAGGAAGAGCAGGCTGCAATTTTAAATAAGGTGGTCGGGATAGACCTCCTTGAATAGGTAACATTTGAGCAAAAATTTATAGGCATAAAGGAATTAGCCACGCAAAGTATCTGGCAGTATAATGTTCCAGGTAGAGGAAATATCCTGTCCAAGCACCTAAAGAGAGAGCATGCCCTGTATTCTAAAGGAACAGCAAGGAGGTCTGTGTAGATGAAGTGAGGTGAGGGAGAAGAGAAGCAAGAGTTGAACTTGGAGGACAAGAAGGGGATAGATCTTGTAGGGCCTTCTCAGGACTTTGGGACCTGGAGAGACATGGGGGAAGGGGAGTAAAAAGAAGAGTGACATGTTCTGACTTACCTTTTACAAGGAATATACTGTCAACTCTTGAGAACTGACTAGGGGTGGGGGATGAGTTAAACCAGGGATACAAGTACAGAAGACTAGGCAGTAATCTAGGCAAAAGATGTTGGTAGCTTATGCAGATGGTGAAAAGTGATGTTCTGAAGGCAGAACCAACAGAATTTGCTAACAAACTGGATACTGGGTATAAGACGGAAGAGTCAAGGATGACTCCAAGGCTTTTGAACTGAGAGGCTAGAAGGATGGAGGCTCCATCAGCTGAGATGCAGAGACTGTGGAGGTGGAAGAGACTTTGGAGAAAATAAAAGAGTTCAGTTTTTGACATGTCAGCCAGAGATGTCAAGTGGGCTACTACATATAAAAAGTCTGAGTTCAGGACAGAGGTCTCTAAAATTTGAGAATTTTAAAGCATATAAATAGTGTTTAAAAGCATGAAATTCAAAATTCTCAAACTGAAAAAGATCTTTCATGCAAGTCACCCTCATCACTGTTGAAGATAAAGTCTAAAGAAATGCAGTGATATGTCCAAGGTTAGACACATATAAAGCAACTCTAACAGAGCTGGTATTCTTTAGCCTGGAATTTTCTTGAGAACACTGCATTGACATCTAGCACAATAAATAAAGGATTACTCTTTGAAGGCTAAATAAAAGGGGTTCAACTTCCAGAAAAGACTCCCCAAAAACTGTGGATAAAATATGGAACCACTGTCTCCCCTTTCTTAAAAAGCATTATTGAAAGACGTGAAATGTATAGTTTAAAGACAGCCTCTTCAGTAAGTGGTGCTGGGAAAACTGGACAGCTACATGTAAAAGAATGAAATTAGAACACTCCCTAACACCATACACAAAAATAAACTCAAAATGGATTAAAGACCTAAATGTAAGACTAGACACTATAAAACTCTTAAGAGGAAAACACAGGAAAAACACTCTTTGACATAAACCACAGCAAGACCTTTTTTGACCCACCTCCTAGAGTAATGAAAATAAAAACAAAAATAAACAAATGGAACCTAATGAAACTTAAAAGCTTTTGCACAGCAAAGGAAACCATAAACAAGAGGAAAAGACAACCCTCAGAATGGGAGAAAATATTTGCAAATGAAACAACAGACAAAGGATTAATCTCTAAAATATACAAACAGCTCATGCAGCTCAATATCAAGAAAACAAACAACCCAATCAAAAAAATGGGTGGAAGCCCTAATAGACATTTCACCAAAGAAGACATACAGATGGCCAAGGGGCACATGAAAATATGTTCAACATTACTAATTATTAGAGAAATGCAAATCAAAACTACAATGAGGTATCACCTCACACCAGTCAGAATGGCCATCATCAAAAAATATACAAACAATAAATGCTGGAGAGGGTGTGGAGAAAAGGGAACCCTCTTGCATTGTTGGTGGGAATGTAAACTGACATAGCCACTATGGAGACCAGTATGGAGATTCCTTAAAAAACTAAAAATAGAACTGCTATGTAACCCAGCAATCCCACTACTAGGCATATACCCTGAGAAAACCATAATTCAAAACGACACATGTACCCCAATGTTCACTGCAGCACTATTTACAATAGCCAGGTCATGGAAGCAACCTAAATGTCCAATGACAGACGAATGCATAAAGAAGATGTGGCACATATATACAATGGAATATTACTCAGCCATAGAAAGGAACGAAACTGGGTCATTTGTAGAGATGTGGATGGTCCTAGAGTCTGTCATACAGAGTGAAGTAAGTCAGAAAGAGAAAAACAAATATCGTATATTAACACATATATGTGGAATCTAGAAAAATGGTACAGATGAACCTATTTTCAGGGCAGGAATAGAGACGTAGAGAAGGGACATGTGGACACAACGGGGTGGTGGGGGGGAAAGGAAGGGTGGGACAAACTGGGAGATTAGGATTGACATATAAACACTACCGTGGGTAAAATAGATAGCTAGTGGGAACATGCTATAAAGCACAGGAAGCTCAGCTTGGTGCTCTGTGACGACCTAGACGGGGTGGGGTGGGAGGGAGGGGATATACGTATACATATAGCTGATTCATTTCACTGTACAGCAGAAACTAACACAACATTGTAAAGCAATTATACTCCAATAAAAAAAATTTTTAATAAAAAAATATATATAGTACATTGCAGGCACTCCATAAATGTTTGTCTAATAATAAATGAACAAATTTGCTGTGAAACAGTCTAAGCTTACTGTGACTATTTGACAATCCAAATCCACTCATCGAAGTGGTTACAGTTAAATATTTTTACTTACCTGATATTTAAGCCAATGAAGTTTGTCCATGTGAAAATGTAATCTCCACCAAAGACCATCCCGATATAAGTTACTAATATATTCTAAAAAGAAAAATGGCAATATACTGTTTCATAGGTTTAACTGAACTTTTTCAATATTCATATAAACTCATCCATACAAAGACCCAAACATATATCCTTAAAATACAAAAACAAATAAACAGAAAATAACAAAATCCCAACGACTCTAAAATGAGTGTAGTATGAGCATGAACATGAACTAATTAAAAAACAATGACATCAGTCTCTTCCCAGTCTCTCTCTGAAAGCTAAATGCTTTCACCCGATACTGAAGAATACTAAAAAGATTATCAAACTTTCCCTGCCCTGTGGCACGCGCTGACATTATCAATCTAGATAGAAAAGCACTGCTATTACTAGGGGCAGAAAACACCAAGGCACGTTTAGCAATCTCAGAGAAGAGTGCTTTTTTCCTCCCGTAGAGGTAGCAGTTGACTTGCCAGGGGAGAGTGAAGAAGGAAAATCTGCTTACATGCAAGCATCTTTCCCTCTTTCTTAAAAAGGAAAAAAGGGATGGTGGGGAATTTACCAACTCAAAGACTGTTTCTAGAGCAATCTTCCTTGGCACCTTAAAAAACCACAGGGGAAGGCATCTCAAAGTAGCGTACCTAAAATCACCTCTCCCGACTCCCTTAAACTCCCAGGTGTAAACATCTTCTGCTTATCTCACTCCCTTTTTGGCTTGTGAGATCTTAGTTCTTAGACCAGGGATAGGACTGGGCCCAGGGCAGTGAAAGCGTCTGGCTCCCTTTTAATTATCCTCAGGCCGTAAAGGTGATATAAAGTTTTCCAGGGCTTCCCTGGTGGCGCAGTGGTTGAGAGTCCGCCTGCCGATGCAGGGGACACGGGTTCACGCCCCGGTCCGGGAAGATCCCACATACCGTGGAGCGGCTGGGCCCGTGAGCCATGGCCGCTGAGCCTGCGCGTCCGGAGCCTGTGCTCCGAACGGGAGAGGCCACAGCAGTGAGAGGCCCGCGTACCGCAAAAAAAAAAAAAAAAAAAAGAAAAAAGTTTTCCAAAGTTTCATCTCTTATTCAGTTCTTCCCTAACCTCTCTTCTTTCACATTAAGTCATTGCCTCCCTCTGTGCTATTACAACTGCCAGAAACGGTAAATGTCACAAATATTTTTAGTACCTGGGCTCTCTCCGATTAGACCTGTGAAGCAGAAAGTATAGTGCCACAGTGTTTTTAAGAAGCCAAAAACAAACTTCAAAATTATTTTTTTAATAGAGTACGCTTTGAGAGAGCATTCAAAATTATGTCAGCCTCTTCTAGGTCTAAGGATGGAGACAGCAAGTTATTTTAGAGCAGATTTTCTTATTATTTGAGAGGAAAAAAATAAAATTAAATACCATGTAACAGTAAACAAGGTTGGTAGGCAACTTGGGAAAATGTGTAACAGGACCTCTTGGAATAGAGATCCAGGGAAAAGAGAGATTAATTTGCATAAACTGCCCAAGAAACTTCAGAAAGGGAAAGGACAGAGAACTCAACCCTTGCTGCTCAAAATCAGTCAGAAGTTAGAAAAACTTTTTTTTTAATATTTATTTATTTATTTGGCTGTGCCAGGTCTTAGTTTTGGCATGCGGTATCTTTAGTTGTGGCATATGGGATCTAGTTCCCTGACCAGGGATCGAACCCGGGCCCCCTGCATTGGGAGTGCGGAGTCTTAGCCACTGGACCATCAGGGAAGCCCCAGAAGTTAGAAAAACTTCAAGTATATATTAGGGTATCCTAACCAAGGTTTTCTATCAGAAAAGACACTCATGTTCCCAAAGTAGAACTTACCAGGAAGCACAGAAGAGTCTGCGCTGGTAGCTCAAAACTAAGACCGCAATCTCAGCCTTTAGCATACCTGAGACTCAGCTGGAAACCCTGATGATTTCCACGTCCTACTTTAGAGATTCTGATTCAATACATCTGAGGTGAGCCTAGGAATTTCCGTGTTTAACTAGCTCTCCTAAGTAATTTTCCCACCACACTCAGGCGAAACAAGTAATGCTGACCCAAGGGTTTATGGGGTTAGGATCCTCAAGCACAGAAGGAAGCTTGAAGCCTGCTGGGGAACAGTAACTGAGCTACAAGGGTTGTAACTGGGAGGCTAATGAAAGAAGCTCCACTGTGGCCTGAAACACTCCAAAACAGCAAGGACATCAGGGTACTCCCATCTGTCTGAAGGTATAAGACATCCTTTAATAGCAAAACCACATGGCCGTGAGAAGCAACAGCAATTATAAACCACAGCTGACCCTTGAACAAAGCAGGGGTTAGGGGTGCAGTGGAAAATCCGACTGTAACTTATGGATGGCCCTCCTTACCTGTGATTCAGCATCTGTGGATTCAACAACCACAGATGGTGCAGTACTGTAATATTTACTACTGAAAAAAATCCGAGTATTAAGTGGACCAGAGCAGTTTAAACCTGCATTGTTTAAGGGTCAACTATAATCAGATAATCCATTTTTTCCCCTCCCTCTAAAGTCTGGAAGTAAAACTGCTCCCTTTGGACTAAGTTCATACAGTTCTGTGGGAAGGAAGAAATATCAAAAGAAAAGTACTGGCCTTTATGTTAATGAGAGCATGACTGTATTTGTACCCCATGCTAATAATGATAAAGAACGTACACTAAGAAATTCTAAGCAAATAGGTTTAGTTATCTGCTAAATAACTTTCCCTCACCATCCTTCTTCTTGGTTAAAAACATGGCACCAACTGTTCTGTCTCTCATGTTCTGTTTTTATTCTGAAAAGGCAAGTCATCTACTTTGCTCTTGAAGCACTCACTTTACAAAAACCGAAACAGGGCTGAGAGCTAATTTGGGGGCTGAAACTGTCTCAGCCAGGCCAGGCCTTTGAATGCCTATCTCTAGCTTTCACGGGAAGTCACACAACTACTTGTTATAGTTTAATTTAGAATTCTATTCACACCAAACACTCCAAATCCATGATTTGAAGACACAGACCTTCTGAAGTTTTAACCCAAATCTAGCTTCTAAAATGAGGTCAGGCAGACACAACTCCACTGGGGGTGTAAAGGGAAACATAGCAGAACAGTACAAACATTGCCTCTGCAACCCCTTCCGTCGCTATTGACAAATGGGGCACCAGAAAGTAAGTTCCAAGGGCAACTGCACTCTTTCCTCCAAATGATCCAGGACCTACCTCTATCTTGCTTTTCTTAGAAAGCAAGCCTACCTCACTAATTCTTTTGGAATTCAGGGATGCTGTGGCCTCTTCCATCTTAAAGCACCAGAATCACAAAGTCAGATGAAAGAGGCCTCAGGCTTCAAGCCACTAACTGCAGCTCAATATTCAAGTCAGCTTGGCTCTCCTGGCTGAAGACAAATGAGCCTCCCTCAAATAAAATGGATCAGGAGGAAATGACATCACTGGAAATGTCAGATACAGCTTTTAAAAGTGGGCCATTTAAGGTTTGGCTCACGCTTAGGAAAACTCGCTGGATTAGCTTTTGGCAGGCATCCTTTTCCTACAGAACAGCCAGAACTCAGCGAGGCAGAGAACAATTCTCATTGGGAGTTAAAGGGACAAAGCTATCAGAACCAAGCTAGTCATCTGCTCTGTGAGAAACAGGGCTGACTCTCCTTCCTCTGCTCTGAGATGACACATTCTCCTTTTCCCATACTCCTCAGGCCTAAGTTGCCTGGAAGTAGAGATGATGCTTTCCCTGGGTTCTTAAGGATTGTTCTAGCAACCACCCCACAAGTCGTCAAACTACCAAGGCAACACATGAGGAAATAATAATGATGGGGCTTAAGGCCACAGCCAGATGTATTTTAGAGGAACACTTTTCAAATAAAGAAGGCACCCAAAAGAGAACAGTATTTTTTCAACTCACCTTAATACAGCCAACTATTGTAGTTGTAAGAGCAGAATTATACTGAGTGCAGAGTACTGTGGCATACATCAAGATAAATCTGGAAAAAAGAAGGAAAAGGTATCTTATAAGTAAGATTCAACTGCTGATTTTATAATAACCTGTAGCCAAGAGAAACAGTGTTGGCCATGCCAGTACATTCTACTAGTCACCCACTGACTGTGAGCTTTCCCTACTTCACTGCTGCTTATACTGCAGCTTCAGATTTTTTTTTAATTTCATTAAAGAGAAACACATGTACATTTAATGATCAGGTGCTTTTCCCAGCTACCGCACCAAAACCTTGAAACCACCATTCACAATCATGAGTACTCTTTTTAAATCATAGTCTTAATTCACCTAACCCAGATAGAAAGCTCAGGACTCACAGACCCTGGCTCAGGTGTACATGTCACTGTGAGGCCAATATGATTCCAGACCAGGGTGAAGGCAAGAGAGATTCTTAAGGATGGAAGAAAAGCAAATGAGAACTACTTTAAGAGGGGATATAGTTCACTTAACAACAAAGTGGCAGCAGTCAGCAGCCCCAGATTTTACAATGAGGCTTCGAAGCCTGACTCAGTACCAAGGTATCACGTCAACTTTATTTTGAAGCATCCAATCACTATGTACCTAGCCTGTGCCAGATCTGGTCACAAATATCGAGCAAAATGACTGGTTGAGGGAAAAAAGCATTAGGGATATTTGGAGGTGAAGAGAAGAGGCAGATAACAGCACATTTGCAGATACCCTCTTGCCTTCTACAACCTGGCAGGGAGAAGTCAGCCCTAAATTCAAAGGCTGCCACTGCTACCTACTAATTCTGCAAACTTAGACAATTTACTTGAATTCTGGGCCTGCTTTCTCACAGGTAAGGGACAACAATATCTGTCAAATGGTCAATGTAGAAATAAAAGTAAATAATGCATGTTGAAATATAGTGGTGCTTATCACATACTAGCTTATTGGGTAAATATTAGTTTTTTTCCTTCATCCTTCTAAGCATGACTTTGAGATCAGTTTGGTAGCCCTGAGGGCACATTCCCAAGGGTGGTGAAACCACTTGAATCTGGAGGTTTATCCTAAGCTGATACACACTCAAGAGACAGAACAGGATACTAAGGAATGAGGCAAAAAGACACTAGAACAAATCTGCCTCGAAAAACTATCTGTTAACAAGGCAGCAAAGGCTTACCCCATCACACAAGAGAGGGTGAACTGCAGAAGAAAGAGGGTGTCGGCCCAGCCTTCAAAATCCATTGCCTGTAATACACAAGAAAGCCCCGGACTTTAGAGCAGGCTCTCAACATCAGCCGTTCCACTCATTAACCCGACTCCTGTGCGCTTGCTCCCGCCACACTCTGACACATACATACATTTCCCTGCATCGCTCCAAGCATAGAGAGTGAGGTTCAAGAATGTAATATACATGGAGCTGAATCAACAAGCAGTTTTGTAAGGTTTTCTCCTTTCCAAAATATGTAAGGTGAGGGAGATTTTGTACTTCTCCCTGTTGGTACAAGGAAACTGATATCTGCTTGAAGGCACAAGCCATGTCCTACTAATCTCAGCAGTTTTCCCAGATGGCTGGTATTAAATAAAGGCTTTCTCAAACCCTAAAACGTATTTCTTCCCTGTAACGTGCGAAAGCTGAAGTACAGCCTTAGTTACACAAATTCAGCTGAGGTCTGTCCAGGAAGAATTCCTATTTTAAAACAGTTGATTTTGTAAAAGCAAGATTTCTGTTGTCCTGTTTGTTTTGAAGCCAAAAGCAAAGGAATGAATAGAAATGACAGGTGCATTGATCATCTCATTTCTCATCCAATAGGGAGGGTTTGTCTCTCAAGTACATAATTTCTCTTGCAATATGAGTTTGTCAGGCAAATATGAGAAACGCTCCACTTTTTCTCTCTCTGCCAACCTGTCCAGCTTCAACTCTTACCACTTCAACATAAATCTCACAGCTCCAGGGCTCCAGCAATACCAGGCTCCTTGTGGTTTATAAAACATAACCTGCAGTTTCAAACTCACATGCCTTTGCCTGGAATACCCTTCCCCTCTACATTCATCTGACTCCTGCTCACCCATCAAACTAGAAGCCAAGCAGCTCCTTCGTGGGGCTTTCCCGGATCAAGAACGCCTTCCTTTGTGCCTCATCAGGACTTCTCTTTAGTGCTCTTATCTTTCTGAACTGCAAATCTTTCTACACCACATCTACAGACTGTGAGCTCCCTGGTGGGAGGAACCACATCAAATTAACTGAATCACATTCCGAACACAGCATTTGACAGACAGTAGACATTCAATTTGTTTATGGTTCTTTGTTGAGGCGTAACATATAAAAAATAAAATTCACCAATTTTAAGTATGTAATTCAATGAATCTTGAAAAATATATAGTCATGAAACCACCATTACAGTCATGATAAAGAAATTTCGGCCTAAAACCAGGAAACCTAGAAGAGAACACAGGGAAAAGCTCCTTACCACTGGTGTTGACAATAATTTTTTGGCTATGACACCAAAAGCACAAACAACAAAAGCAAAGATAAGAGGGACTACATCAAACTAAAAGGTTTCTGCACAGCACAGCAAAAGAAACCACCAACAAAATGAGAAGGCAACCTACGGAATGGGAAAAAATATTTGTAAACCATATGTCTGATAAGAGGTGAATAGCCAAAGTACATAAGGAACTCATATAACTCAACAGCAAAAAAAAAAAAAAAAACCAAACAACCCAATTAAAAAATGGGCAAAGGAAGTGAGTAGACATTTCCCCCAAAAGGAGGCACAAATGGACAACAGGTACATGAAAAGGTGCTCAACATCACTAATCAAAAGAAAGACGCAAATCAAAACCACAGTAAGCACACCACACCTGTTAGAATAGCTGTCATCAAAAAGACAAGAGATAACAAGTGCTGGAGAGGGTGTGGAGGAAAGAGAGCACTTGTGCGCTGCGGGTGGGAATGTAAATTTGTACAGCCAAGATGGAAAACACACACACACAGACACACAGACAATGGAGAATTATTTAGCCATGAGAAAGGAAATCCTGCTTTTTGCAACAACATAAATGGACCTTGAGGGCATTATGCAAAGTGAGATAAATCAGACAGAGAAAGACAGACACGGTCTGATCTCACACGTAAAATCTAAAAAAGCCAAATTCACAGAAACAGAGGGTGAATGGTAGTTGCCAGGGGCTGGGGCGTGGAGGAAATGGTGAGAGGTTGGTTTTACAACTTATAAGATGCGTAAATTCTAGGGATCTAACGTATAAGCATGGTGTTAGAGTTAAGAACACTATATTATATACTTGAAAATTACTAAGAGTAGGTCTTAAGTGTTCTCACCACACACACACAAGGCAGTTATGTGAGGTGATGGCAGGGTTAACTAATGCTACTATGGTAATTATTTCCTAATACATAACTGTATAAAATCAACCATTGTACAACTTACACTTACACAATATTAAATGTCCATTGTAACTCAGTAAAGCTGGAAAGAAAGAAATATTTACCACCCTAGAAAGTTCCCTCCTGCCCCTTTACAGTCAATCCCCTCTCCCATTTACAGCCCCTGGGAACCTCTGATCTACTTTCTTACTAGAGTTTTACCATTCAGTAATTTCATATAAATGAGAGATTGTACGGTATGTACTCTTTTATATCTGGCTTCTTTCACTTGACACAATGTGGATGGCTTGGTTCTTTCAGTAAATGCATCTTTAATTTTATAATGAACTGTCCAACTGTTTTCCAAAGTAGCTATAACATTTTGTATTCCCACCAGAACTGTTATGAGAGTTCCTGCTGCTCTACATTCATACATACATTTGGAATTGTTTCAGACCATCCAAGTGATTAAATAAATGGTAGCTCATTATAATTTTAATTTTTTTTAGGTCATGAATCAATTTATTGATCACAAATAGCATTCAAAAATAAAACAGAACAAAACAGAAAACAGGGTGTATTCCGTGTAACAAGAAATATTTTTTCATGAAATTTTGCCTCATTTATGTGTGCATGGGAGTGTATACTGAATCACAATATAATTATTATTTCTAACTGTATGTAGAGGTCAAACATTTTAAGAAATACTGGTCTAGGGGATCAAGTGTTAGTTTTAGGGTTATTTAAAATATTTATACACTGACATGAAAATTGTAGTTTATACCTGGTCGAAGCATGGCAAGACTCACACAGATAAACCGGAGTAAAAGGTATTACAGACCTAATACTTTTTTTTGGCTGCGTCGGGTCTTAGTTGCGGCACATGGGATCTTTGTTGAGGCATGCAGGCTTCTCTCTAGTTGCGGTGTGCAGGTTTTTCTCTCTCTAGTTGTGGTGCGCGGGCTCCAGGGCAAGTGGGCTCTGAAGTTGTGGCGCTCGGGCTCCAGAGCGCGTGGGCTCTGCAGTTTGCGGCACACAGGCTTAGTTGCCCTGCGGCATGTGGGATCTTAGTTCCCCGACCAGCGATGGAACCCAAGTCCCCTGCGTTGGATGGCAGATTGTTTACCACGGGACCACCAGGGAAGTCCCCAGACCTAATACTCTTGAAGAAATAGAATACATTCTATTTCACACACAGACACCAACATCTTTTGTCTTGAAACTTGTAGCACTTTCCTCTCTTATAAGTTCCGTTTCTTCTTCTTTTTTAAAACCTTCATAAACTGATTACTGGCTTTGAAGTCAGACCTGCACCCAGATCCCAAATCCAGCATTCCCTATGTGTATCACTGTAATTTTAATTTGCATTTCCCTAATCACTAATGAGGTTAAGCATCTTTTAATGTGCTTTTTTGCCATCAGTACTGTTTCTTTAGTGAAGTGTCTGTGCAAATCTTTTCCAAATTTTATTCAAGTTATTTGTCTTCTTAACTACTAAGTTTTAAATTAACAGTTTTAAAAAATATATTCTAGATACAAGTCCTTAATCATATATATTGGGTTGGCCAAAAAGTTCCTTCAGTTTTTAAGTAAAAATAAAAGACACATTTTTCATTTTCACCAAGAACTTTACTTAACAACGTATTCCCTCTCTTGTTCCACTACCTTCTGCCATTTTCCAGGCAACTTCGTAATTCCATCTTCCCAAACATTTCATCTTTTTGAGCAAAGAACTGTTCCAGGTGCTTTTTACAAGTTTCCTGGGAATTGAAATTTTTTCCATTGAGAGAATTTTCTGAAGACTGAAATAAATGGAAACCCGAAGGTGCAATGTCTGGTGAATACAGCGGATGAACCAGAACTTCCCAGCCAAGCCTTAACAGTTTTTGCCTGGTCATCAGAGAAACATGCGGCCTTGCGTGATCCTGATGGAAGATTATGCGTTTTCTGTTGACTAATTCCAGACGCTTTCATCGAGTGCTGCTTTCAGTTGGTCTAACTGAGAGCAGTACTTGTTGGAATTAACTGACTGGTTTTCTGGAAGGAGTTCATAATAGAGGACTCCCTTCCAAACCCACCATATACACATCACCACCTTCTTTGGATGAAGACTGGCCTTTGGTGTGGTTGGTGGTGATTCATTTCACTTGCCCCACGATCCCTTCCATTCCACATTATTGAACAGTATACACTTTTCATTGCCCGTCACAATTTGTTTTAAAAATGGAACGTTTTTGTTACGTTTCAGTAGAGAATCGCATGTGGAAATACGGTCCAGAAGGTTTTTTTCCACTTTAACTTATGTGGAACCCAAACATTAAAGTGATTAACATAACCAAGCTGATGCAAATGATTTTCAACGCTTGATTTGGATATTTTGAGTATGTTGGCTATCTCCCGCGTGGTATAACGTTGACTGTTCTCAATGCCTCGATTGATCACTATCAACTTCAACTGGTCAACCTGAACGTGGAGCATCTTCCAGCAAGAAATCTCCAGCACGAAACTTCGCAAACCACGTTTGAAACATTCGATTAGTCACAGCACCTTCTCCAAACACTGTACAAATCTTTTTGTGCATTGCAGTTGCGTTTTTACCATTCTTGAAATAATAAAGCATAATGTGCCAAAAATGTTGCTTTCTTCCCATCTTCAATATTAAAATGACTAGACAAAAATTCACCAATATCCATGTTTTTTTTAAAATGCAGGCTGATATGACAGCTGTCATACAATCTAACAAAACAATCTAACAGAATTGTTTTGAATGAAGTTAAAGACAACTAAGCACTACTAGAGCCATCTTATGGAAAAAACCAAATGAACTTTTTGGCCAACCCAATATATATGAATGCAATAT